GTATTTCAAAAATACAGCAAGAAGTATTGATGCAGGGCAGAGGTTGCCAACTGTGGTGGGTTTCAGGTGCTGGCTTGTGCTTGGGGAACAAAACTGCTAAAAAATTAAAAACAAAAGCATAAGTGAGTAGGAGTGCACTCTTGGTTTTGAAACTACATGTTTAAATGTATATGTGTGTGTGTGTGTGTATCTGAGATTGAAAGAGAATGCAGGGGAAGCCTTTAGAGTATTTAAAATGTGTATTGACACTCCTGGCGGCTTTCCAGAGGATGCATTTTACTCATCACAAAAGGTTGGTTCAGCGAGTTAAGGTAAAAACAGACTGGGAGATAAGCCAAGTGATATTTTCATAAGAAGATATGGGACAACTATTCAAAAACGTTCAAAGTTTCTTAGTGAAAAATGAGCTTAACTGGTTTATTTGAATTGCCAAATTTATTTTGCCACTCAATCCTGTTGACTTTGTACTCATTGGTTAAAACACTGGTTCAACTTGTGGGGGAAGGGGTAGATGGTTTACTTTTTAGAATCCTCAGGATGTTAAAGTGGAAGAAGGTAACTGGAAAAGCTAATGATAAAAAGCGTAAGTATCTTGGAATAACCTTGAGGAGATCAAGTATAATCAGACTATACTTCATAATTTAGAGTGTATAACACAGCGGCCTTGCATGTATTGCTAGACTACAATTCTTATTTGCGTTAACCAACATATCTAATGGTGAGGGATCATGGTAGGTGGAGGACAACACATTGAAATAAGATACAATGCCATTAAAAACAAAACAAAGTAAGAAGTTTGTGTCTTTAACCTCATCCTCTTCTTTTTATCTCTGTGTATTTGTGTGTATGTGTGAAATACAATTCCCTTTTATAGCATTTCGAAAATGTTTATGGCACTTATAAGTACGCACTCCTTCCTCCACTGTCCTTATCTCATTCAGCAATAATTTCCTTGAAGTCATGGGGGTGGGGATTTGCTGAAATAAAAAGCAAACAAGTAAAGAGGGTGCTAATGTCTCCTCTGTGAAGTAATGACAGCTAGCAAGGAATGCAGACTTGCCATAAAGCTTATACAAAGCTGTACTGTTTATTTCACAAATCAGACAGCAAGAGGAATGCAGTCCACACTATGGGATGTTTTGTCCTCATGCAGACAATGTCATGTTTTGACTAAGGAAAAAGAGTTTGCTGCCTGGTCCTTTATCATTCTGATAAGAAGAAGCCGCTCGATAAATACTATGTAGTTGATAAATACTACCTGTTCTAACTAGAACTGGTTTGGCTCTTATCTAAAGACATGATAAAGGACAGTTAAATGGTCACTGGCATTTCTACAATATCATTATGCCGGGTGATGTATTAATAAAGTATGCCAAAATGTGCATCTGGAAATACAATGCCAAAATGGCAAGTAGTTAAATTTTCACTATCAGCTTTGCTTTGATTATCACCTGGCTGGGACTTTCAGAATGAAGGTTATAAACATTAACAGAGCAGGAACCTTGTGGTTTTTGACTGAACTTGTAATCTATTATAAACTGTAACTGGGAAGGGACACAAAATGCTGCAGGAGTTCTATGTCCAAACTACTGAGACCAGAAAACCGCTAGGGATATAAACTTTTGACTTGCTCCTTGTCTGCAGTGTGCTCCCTAATATGGTAGAAAAGGAACTTTCCCGCATAATATTGGAACAGTATTCACATGATTCAAACCCGTTTTGCAAAATAATTTTGCACAGAAATACAGATGAGAGAGTATTGCAGGGAAAAAAATCAGCTCCAAGAAAAAAACAGTTTCAATATACTGTACAAAATCTGTGGGTTCTGTACAAAAACTATTATTTTGTTTTTGAAAAATTGTGTCTTTGAGCAAAAACTCTTTTTTCTTGGACAGCAAAACACTTTCTTGAAACACACACCATTTTTAATGTTGTAAGCCTATGTGTGTTTCTGTATAGAAACAATTTCCTGTGCCTAGAATAATTTTGAATTTATGAACACTGGTTCATGCATTCAAAATGCATGCTGGTTCATGCATTCAAAATGCACAACATCCTTCCATTTACTCCATTCTATCCAAATGAGTTTCCTAAATGTCACTTCTGTTACCTACCAGATTCCTATAGAATTGTTATACGATTCACCATGAAGTTGTAGCATGTTTGATGCACAAAGCTCAAATGATAAGAGAATGGGCGGAGAATCTTTGGTTTATTTTTATTTGTTTTATTTTAGGAACTCAAAGCAGCTAACAGCAACCATAACATTTTTTTTTTCATGTCAGGAGCAACTTGGGAAACTGCAGGTGTGAAATAATTGTTTGTCTGCAAGGATGTTGTCTAGGGGATGCCCGGATGTTTTACCATCTGGTGGGAGGCTTCTCTTTTGTCCCCACATGAGAAGTTGGAGCTGACAGACAGGAGCTCACCCCGCTCCCTGGATCTAAACCACTGACCTTTTAGCAGTCCTGCCGGCACAAGGATTTAACCCATTGTGCTAGTGGGGGCTCCTAACCATGACATAATACAAATTAAAAACTTTTTTAACCATGACATAACTCAAACCAAAACCCCCAAACACCTAAACAAACTACTCTTGGTGACAGCTACTGTACTGTTTTAATTCTTTTGTGTATGTCAGGAGCGACTTGAGAAACCACAAGTTGCTTCTGGTGTGAGAGAATTGGCTGTCTGCAAGGACATTGCCCAGGGGATGCAGGGATGCTTTAATGTTTTACAATCCTTGTGGGAGGCTTCTCTCATGTCCCCACTTGGGGAGCTGGAGCTGACAGAGGGAGCTCGTCCTCACTCTCCCCGGATTCAAACCTTCAACCTGTTGGTCATCAGTCCTGCTGGCACAAGGGTTTAACCCATTGCACCACTGGGGGCTCCTACCGTTTTAATGAAATAGCTAGTTAATAATTAATGTAGTTAAACTGGAACATGGTCATTTGCATTTAAACAACAGTAAAACAAATTAATGCCGGCACTGCCCTCTCCTTATAATTTATAGCTATATATATATATATATATATATATATATATATATATATATATATATATCTGGCAAATTGGGATTATCTGAAACAGATGCATGAAACCCTCTCTGCAGTCCAAGTCACTGAAAGATGAATTTATTTTCTTCCTTTTATTACAAGGCAAATAAAGAAAACCCTTCAATTTAAATCCCCAAATGCATTAGTCTGAGGTAGTGTCATTATTCTAACAGCCAGACAAAGAAAAAGTACCCTCTGGGTTACAAAAGGCAGAAGAGGGAATTTTCAGCTTATTATCGGCTACAATGATTTCTCCAACGAAAATTCCACCTCTAGCAACACTTCTATAAGTATCCCTCATGATTCAAATCTCGACTTACAAAGTTATAAATCTTTGGAATCGGATGTAGAAAACAATTATGAAGGTGAACAAGTTGAACATAACCTTTCGCACTCTGTTTTAGCTGCGGTACCTTGATAAGATTCAAAAGCAATACTGTTTCCCAGCACCAACCCAAACAAGTGACAGCTTGAACAGCAAGGTAACAATTTCAGCTAAGAGGTCTCTGGGTTTTCTATAACCTCTTCTGAGAACAAGAATGTATTTTAGTTTTCTGAGAGACATTGCTGAAGGGGGGGGGGGGGAGAGACCAATGCAGATACCGTCTGTTCCCAAATATTAAATTCCAACCCAAAGGCAACTTGAGCAAGTTATATGCAACGACACTTCTTGATGTCCTTAAATCTGCTACACGCTTTATTTATAATCCCAGGGAGTTGTTGACATGTCATTGATCTCAGGACACATGTTCAAAATACAGTTTACTGAATCAATAAGGGAGCAGCTCTGTCATTAGGTTGAGTAAGGCAGCCATCTCAGGCCTCAGCAGATGTCAGCTGTCATGAAAGGGAAGCAAACTGTTAGTCATTTCATTTATTGCAATAATGTTTTTACTTCCAAGGAGAAGTGTCTGAGATTTTCTGCCTCAGATGCTAAATATATCGGTCGGCTTTGGTTACAATTCATTTTTTCTTTGAGACATGTGTATATGCATCTCTGTATGTTACATGCCTTCAAGTCACCTGTCGACTTATTGTGACCCCATTAATTTCATAGTATTTTCTTAGGCAAGAAACACTCAAGAGCTAGTATTGCCTGTTCTTTCCTCTGAAATATAGTCTGCAGCACCTGATATTCATCACAGTCTCCTATCCAATGATTAACCAGAGATGGCCCTGCTTAGCTTCCAAGATCAGATGGGATCTGGTCCTTTTAGGGCATTTAAGCCCTTATAGTATGAGTATACACACAAAGATGAATGTTTCTTCTAAGGCAACAAAATATCTTGGACAAGTCTCAAAAGCTTGGATTAGATTAAATAAAGCATATCTTCCAAGAGTACACAAGATGAGTGTGTGTGTATGTGCCCTGCATCTACACATCCAAACATGTACAAATATGTATTACCATAAACATAACTGTATTTATAAAAAACTATTTTCATAAAAGTAAATAAATATTTACATTTAAGCATATTATTTGATATTTATACTTTTAATTTAAAATCCTGAGAAATTAAATTATACTTTTAATTTGAAATCCATTGCTTTAGAGTGGGCTGACTCCAAGTGGAACTAGAAACTGGGGTCATATGTTTTTTTTTCTCCTCAAGCTTGTTAAAATATAGAGAATTTCTTCCAAATTCAGGATGGGTGAGATCATCAGTTTTTAGATCCAATTTATTATGGAAGGTTAGGTGTCCAATATGAAGAAAATATTTTCATTATGAAACACTGCTCATTTTCTTTTATCAGATTGATACCACCTACCATACATCAACCAATTCTAGCTATGGTACAGAGAGAGAAAGAAGGGGTACAGCAAGTAATATCATATACACTTCTAAACTTGGCAAAGGGGGCCTCTCTTCTCAGCCCATATTTTTGCATATGAAATGAATGCTTCTGAGAGCTAATTTTTTAAAAAGGTTTCCATGCTGCTACCTCATTGACTTTGCTTATTCGCCTTGCCACAATGAGCTGAATCATTCCACGTTTGTTTCCCTCCGTGGACATGGACCGACGTAGGGTTTCCATGGCATCCTGGTTTGTCTTGCCCAATAACGATTCCCCGTTTACTGCTATTAGTTGATCATTCACTCGGAGTCTTCCATCCTGGCAAGGGAAAATGTAAAGAATAAAGGGCTTTGGCACTTTTGGTGTGGGAGGGAAAAAACTTAATCCTCAGGCTTTATGGTAAAGTGAACACAACTATAATGGTTTTCTGAAGAAGTCATTTACAGACATAGCTTTTCTAATCATTTGCATATTTAAATTTGACATCATTATCATAATCTGTTTGTGTAAATAGGTTACTAAGTGAAATGAACAGCTATAGCTGATCCCTTCTTTCTTTCCCAAGTTCCATGGAATCCTTGAGCCATACTAGTGAAAACTATTTTAATGCCAAGCTGTCACATCCTTCTTTATACCCCACAACATCCAAAACTCGAGTGGAATGGATGGAAGTGGAGCATATACATTTGAATATCATCTTTTAAAGCACTAAGTGTGCAAAGGGTTCTTTGTTATTCAGGACTTCTGTATCTCAGAGGACTGGGGAGGCAGAAACAAACCTTTCTCCTTTGCCTGACCTGGATTCCTTTCTCATTTTGCTGTTTTCCTTAAGAGGTTTGCTCTGGCAAAGTGGATATCTCCAACTAGCATTTCTGGTTGTCATAAAGGCAATAAATTGTCTTATTTATTAAGCTTGCCTTTTTGCCATCATGAAATGGGAGATGTGCTTGTGAAATGCTTGTGCAAAATAATACAACTATCCTAAGATATTATGTACCTTAGAACTGAGAATTTGGGAAATGTGACATCTGCTGTTGTGCTTCAAGCAGCTTGAACCAGCATTGAGTACCATGGTTTGGGGAAAAACACAAATCTGGTGATTATAAGGAATTTGTTCAGCAGATCTTTCTTTACTTAGTCCTGTAAACCCTGGGAATTTGGACAAGGGTGCTCATCTCACTCCCATGCATTTTGTACTCTGACTGATCAATTTTGCCTTCTGGTAGGACAGCTCTAAAACTTTTTGGTTGCTTTCATTACTGGTCACTCTGTAGCTTATTTAGGTCATATTCTTCCATTTGTATGGTCAGTTGAAAGGCTTACAAATATATCAACACCAGGTCAGTATGGGGGCCCTCCTTCTAGATCCACAGGATCCCTAGGATCTTGCTAAAGGACATGATTAGTTTACTGCTACTGAGAACAGCACCATTCTGTTTTCCATTTCAGAAGTTTTCCAATGTCTCAAATGTTGACCATAACCATAAACTAAAAATATAGTATTTTACAGTGTCCTGCCCACTAATTGGTAATAAAATGGGATAATCACAGTGGAATATTTTTATACACATCTATAGATAGCTGGATAGATAGACCAATAGACAGATGGATGGGCAGATGAGAGAGAGAAAATAGAAACTTTAAAAATGTAAAGATATTAATCATTTAAAGGAATAACTAAGAAAAGAAAAGATTGTGGCACTAGTTATTTTCAAAAGAAACTATTTGGAGAAAGATGACAAATGTTTTAAAATACAAGTTCATCTACCACTTACTTTAGAAGCTGCTCCACCATTTATAATTGACTTGACAAAGATGCCGAGGTCTGCGTGGTTCTCTTTTGACCGGTTACCTTTCACACTGACACCAAGCCCAGCTGATCCTGAATCATTAAGGGGAATCTCAAAAGTAAGGAATTCCCTGGTGCCATCAGGAGTCAGGACAAGATCTTCTTCTGCTCTCTGTCAGGAAGAGATTAACCATGGTATTATTTAAAAGGATTTGTTGTTTGCAATTATCTTCTAACTACAGCTATTAAGCTTTTTTAAAAAAGAACATACTGAAAGTACAACTGCCATAATAATGTCAATTGAAATTCTGTGGGGAAATCTGTGATAATGGTGCATTTGGCACCACCTTCGAATAATTCATCGAACCAGATGTGACCTCTTTCTCCTCCTCATGTGTGCACATGTATGTGTGTGAGAGAAAGAATATATATATGTATATAAACTATGACACTTTCCAAATTAATACAAACTGCAACCACTCCATTTTTCCAAACAGGAAGCAATTATCGGAAGCATTAAAACCAATGCATTTTCTCCAGCAAGTTCATTTGCCCTTTTCAAATAATAGTTTTGAATATTTATGTATTCTGAGCAGCAAGAAGGATACAAACAGCAGGCAAATGGATAAATACCCATTAGTCATTTCTACCTTGTTTTTCTTCTACAGTTGAGAGTATTAAGACACATAAAACTTCAGATGAGATCAGGTAATCGGAAACCTCTCTGTTCTTGGGTGCCAGAAAAATCATATGGGATGCAGCTGTGAGTACCTTCTTTCTTTTCACTTTCTTTTCATTTTGTTTTTTATTTGGTCTTCAAATTTTCAAATTGCTCCTCTTTTCATGAATCCCACCCTTATTTCACAGCTCCTTCCTGATCTTGGAAGCTTAAAAAGGGTCTGGTGCGATTAGTACTAGGAAGGGAGAAACGCCAAGGAATACCAGGTGGTGCAAGCTATGTTTAAGAAAAGTGGTTCTCAACCTGTGAGTCCCTAGATGTTTTAGCCTACAACTAAAACATCTAGAGATCCCAGCCAGTTTACCAGTTGCTAGGATTTCTGGGTGTTGAAGGCCAAAACATCTGGGGATCCACAGACTGAGAACCACTGTTTAAGGGGAAGGCAATGGCAAATCGCCTCTGACTATTCCTTGCTTAAGAAAACACAAAGAAAACCATAATTTTGCCCTATCTTGACTGGTAACTTGAAGGTACATACACAACACACAGATGTTTAGATGTCAGATTTTAAGGCAGGAAAGGCACAATTGGTTATGCCAATAGGGCAGTGAATGCAATCTCAGTTTTTCCCCAAACTATAAATGAGATATGCAGGGATGTTGGGGGATTCTGGGAATTATTGTCCAAAAAGATAATTTCACCAACCTCTAACCGGCACATTCCTGATGGAAATATAAAGAACTAAGAATAAATCATACAAAATATGGATCAAGCTCTTTTTAAAAAGGAAAGGAAAATTTGTGGGGTAAAGCTCTCTTTCCCCTTATTTAACATAAGAAAAAAATCAATTAAGCATCACCAAAATCCTGAGATCATCATGAATCATAACTTTAAAACACAAGGGAGGCTATGTAAAATGTGGCATTTAAAAACAAAAAGGAAAAAAGATAAGACAATCACCGACTAATTGCAATAACTTCCATTTGATCTTGATATGCTCCAAATTAACAGCTTCGGCATGTCAATCAAAGTACCTCAAGATTATTTTCATGATGAGATGATCTTGCAGAAGGAATTTATTGCTTCATGTTCCCTGGCACCACCAGAAATAAACACACCCAAGTCAATTTAGTGCTGCGATGGCTGATCAACAAGACTCAACTCCCTCAAGAGTTCTTGTGTACCATGTCCAAAACAATTAGCAACCTCACAATGCCCTGTTCAGAGCTGCTGTTCTGAAGAAAAGGTCACCTGAAATTACTTCAACTGAATGAATGAAGCTGCTCGAGTATGTAATTTGCAATAAAAATTCGATGGGTGATAAACTGCGTAGGTGACTTATTTTCTTCAAGCTCAAACTTAGCATCAGGGTGACAGAAGTGACTTGAAGTCGTGTGGCAATGGGGAGAGTCTTATGTCTATCGCCCCTCGCCAATTCACTCGACATGAAGCCCAAGTATGTTTTTACATGCTACCCTTGTTAAGCTTGTTGACCTTCTCCATTCCATTGCTTTTCCTTTCACCATTCTCCCTCCTCGTTCTGTAGTCTTCCCACCTCTTATAATATTGATTACAAATTCTTTGTGGAAGAGATCTCTACTGTAATTTGGCCACATGAAGTTGTGCAATAGATTTTTTAACAAGCAGAACATTATACCTACAAAGATGCTTGGCCATCTGAGATTTAGTGATGCATTGAGTTGGACACATAAAATTTGTCAAATGCATGGTCTAAAGCTCATGGATTCAAAGAAAAACTTAAGCCAGGCCACTTCAACCTGCAGCTCTCCAGGTATTTTGGACTACAGTTCCCAGAATTCCTGATCACTGAACAAGCTTGCTAGAGCTTCCGGGAGTTGGAATCACAGACACCTGGGGGGCCACAGGTTGAAGATGCCCAAGCTTTGCTTAGATACCTTGCCCCAGAAGTATACACAGTCTACAATTAAATGGCTCACACACTTCTTGAAATTAGGTATCTGTATAACAATGGACACTGATTTCTAGGAGAACTAAATGGAAAAGCATAAATACGTTTATGCCATTTCGTGTTATTCCATGTGAGCTGCAACTTGACTTTCCCTAAGTGGGGATGATCCAAGGGATGAGGAAAAACAACAGTATGATAGAAGACAAGTAAGAGCCAGCATGGTGTAGCGGCCTGAGTGTTTGACGAAGACTTTAAAAAACAGGGTTTGAATTCCTGTTTGGCCATGGAAATCCATTGGATGACCTTAAGCATGGAAACTCATTGGATTACCTTAAGCAAGTCATACTCTCAGAGGAAGGCAAACCTCATCTGAAAAAACCATGGCAAGAAAACCCCATGATAAGGTCACCTTAGGGTTGTCATATATCAGAAATGACTTGAAGACACACAGTTACAGATAAACTAGGCAACAAGCCACATGGATTTATGAAAAACTTGAAGAATAAAAGAGAACAAACTGATTTTAAAAAATAATTAAGAAGGAAGAAAGGAAGGAAAATTGCTGTAGCACTTAGAAAGCCACAGATACTTCTGTTCAACCTTGGAAGGCAGCAATTAATAATAGAAAATAATAGAAAATAAATGGAAGGTCTTACATTAAGGAGAAATAAAATACAGGTATGTAAGAATTTTGTGAAAACAGTAGAAGATAAATGAGATAAATAAAATGTTAAAGTAGAAGTTAATAGGGAAAATAAAATAAATAAGCAGGAACAAAGCTAGTAGTACGTTATATAAAAAAAAAATCAGCTCAAGGTAAGTTAAGAAAACTTAAAAGTTATGGGTTATAGCCAATGGCCTTCTTCCAGCATAACAGGCTCCTCTCATACAGTCATGATTTCCCAAATGCTACTACTTGTTTTGGAAAAAGGAGGGAAACAGTTTGGAGCAGATTTGGGAAACCCCACTACAGTATATTAGGAGAGCATGTGAAAGAGCAAAAGAATGAGAAACACTAGGTCCTTTTAGATGACAAAACTATAGCCCTATAGCCCCACTTTAACAAGAAAACCACCTATGGAATACTGGGACTTGTATTTTAGGGAGTGTCATTGAGAAATCTCAGCCACAAAGCCCCACTAAATCTGAACAAACTATGAAATCCGGGATTTAATGACAGCTGAAGTGGAACTGTAACACTGTAATTTTGTAGTATGAAAGAGTCCACTGTCTACACATACTCAACTATAAAAATATTATAGACTCACAGAGCCGGAAAAGCACACAAGAGCCCGCTAGTCCAACCACTTGCCACACAGAAACACACAATCAAAGCATTCATAACATATATATAGCCACCCATCTTGTTTAAAAACATCCAAAGAAGGAGAAGCTGCAACAAATATATTCCAATACAGATGGAGACAAGTCAGTAGCGAGCAGACTGGTTTCCAAATTTTGTCTCTCAGATGGTGATGTTGTACAATGTCTAGAATCCTTGAATGTAGGCTATGCTGAAGTTTGGCTTCTATGAATAGTAATGCAAAACCATTCTTGGGCCCAAGGCTGTAAAGTACTTGACACATAAGAGTGCCCTGTGGAAATCATGCATTTATTTTAAAGAATTTCTTAGCAGAATAAAAGTTGTTTCTCAAAAAGCTTTAACATGCCTCAAGATAAAAAAAGGAGTGGTGCACTCCCTTATCAGGAATTTCTGATTTAAAAAGTAAAGTCAGAAAACAGGAATATTTACTACAACTAGAAGGAGAAGGTATGAACATTGTCCTCTAATTTCATAACCAATGCATAAGGAGATCATTATTAAATGTGTAGAATAAGTATAAGAAACAATATTAGAGCATAATGTCACTGTTGTGCTCTCCACATGCTCTGTTTAGAAGGGAAATTGCCATGAAAAAGAAATGATTGACTTATAAAGACCTGTTAGTATTGGATAATGATTGATTTAGAATGAAGGCAAGAGAGGAACTACTATCTGAGAACTTCCTAATACAACTGTTTCCATACAGACAATTAGTAGAACCATTTAAAATTGATAAAAGCTTGGATTTGTTATGGATAAACCTGAATTTGAAATTGGTTTAGACTCTGGAGATGGAGTTGTATAAATTGTTTTTGAAATATGAAATGGAGGAGGAACAGGTGAAAGATTGTAAGGTTAAGTAGCCACAAAATTTTGGTAAACAAATGCAAATAGAACAACGGGAAAGAGTTTACAATTTACACTATGCAGTAATTTGAATTTTTTAAAAATAAAATGACATAGATAGTACACAACATCAGAAAGGATTGCTAAGATGTATAAAAATAGTTCTAGTGACTGTTGGAAATGGGGAGGAAGAATGGGTGCTTTTTACCATATTTCGTGGTCATGTTAAAAGGTCCAGAAATACTGGGCACAGATTCATATGATTTTGGAAGAAATTGTTAAAGTCAAATTTGAAATGAATGAAACCTGAACTCTATCTGCTTGGAATGTTAGATGAACAACTCAATAGAAATGTGGAAGGTTATTGCTATACATGATAACAGCAGCAAGAAT